GGCCCGCGTCTGCCGGCACCCCCCAGCCCCTCGGGAATCGTGGCAGCAACCGAATTCCCGCTGGCGGGAGCCGCAGCCCACCCCTGCGCGCAGCCTGTGCTGGGGTCGGCCCCGCCGCTCCTGCCTGCGCTGCGGTCCAGGCCCCACAGCAGCGGCCGGGCTGTGCCCCCCCCCTCCCCGCCAGCCCCATCCTCCGTTTCTGCCGCTCGGTGCCTCCGGCGCGGTGGGCAGGATGGACCCTGCGCCTGAACCTCCTTTGCTGTGTGGAAAGGAGCCGTGCTGCCTGTGATTTATGGGTCTCGGGCGTTCGGGGAGTCGGTGTCTCCTTCCTTGGAACGCAGGGCGGCCTCCTGTCCCCCGGCGGCATGCGGGGAGCCAATTTCCTTCCACAGTTTCCCCGCTCAGCCCCCGCCGCCACGGCTACAGGGAGGGAATCGAGCAATAGCTTCCCGACCAGCCTAAATAAAGGGCGGGCGACAGGGTGAAAACTGCGTACGCGAGGCAGGTGGTCTGTCTCGCACACCGCCCCGCGCCCCGCGCGTTCGCTTTCGTGGTGTAACTCGTGCATCATAAGGAGATCTATTTAATGCCATTAAAACTAATTGCTCTCTATGCTGCAGAGTAAAGTGACTCCGGGGAGAGATTTCACGTGAGTTTCTTGGACAGCAGAACGAACGTTGAAAGGAATTACTATAGTGCAGTGGGAGGTCTGGGCTTTTCACACACTATTTTCATATCACCAATGTTATTCCAGTTTCACGCAGCGCCAGGGCATTAGGATGTGGTTTGCTCAATCACTTTGAACCTAACGCTTAGAGTGAGCAGGGCCCAGCAGCACACCCCATACCCGTGGCCATGTCTAGACAAAGATTTAATGGCAATGGCAGTGTGTTTTAACAAAGGTGGTCTAAGCCTTGCTAACTACTTGGTTTTCTTTAGTAACCCAACTCCACCAGTTTAGCCTGCATTAAATTTTGTCCTGTCAAATCTGGCATGAACTTTGTAGAGTGTATTCTTCAGCAATACACTTTTTCCCCCCTTCCTAGCGAAGCCTTCCAGTCCATACCCAGAGCGTGGACCGTGCAGATACTCCCACCGACAAGGTCCACTGCCCAGTGGCTCGGTTATGCTGGAGTCCCTCCAGCACAACAAAGCCACAGGTATCTGGACAGAAAAGGGATCCGCTCAGATCCACAGCCAAACTCTGTTCAATTGAGCTTCACGATCTGTTTAGGCAAGCAAAGAGGAAGACTTTCTTCTACGACTGTGCGCTGGAAGGTCTATAAGCTGGCATGTCAGGGTGAACAAAGGGACAGAGTGCTAGGAGAAGTCCGCTCCGCTGGCAGTGGGATGATCTGAGTCTTTTTAAATAAAGCAGAAAGATGATGGGAGGAGGAGGAGGGTGCAGGGAAGTAGAATGGGTCATACGTGGTGTGTGAGGCAAAGTATGTCACATATTGACATAATGTACACAGGAACAGAAGCTAAAATGAAGTTCAGATATGCCCCCTCCCTCTTTCAAAGGCAGGAAAGAGCTGAAGTCTTTGGCGCAAATGGAACAGTCATGCCAAAAGACCCTGGCCCCAAAGTGCGAAATAGGGGGAACTGTGGACATTCCTCACCACAGTTTATTCAAGGGCTTAAGTGTGGATTTGTATGTCCTCTGTGTGCATGTGGCAGGGGAAAGGCAGAAGAGTAGAAGAGCTTAACAACTGTAGGTGAAGACAAAAAATTCTTAATAAGCAACAACTGATTTCAACTCACAGCACTTAGCTCCAGCTTCAGGCTGTGGTGTAATTCACGTGGCTCTCAGGAAAAGAAAAGCAAACTGTGCCTGCTCTGCATCATTTATGGTGTATTTACTTTGCAGGACTGCCTCTGTGGAGAAGCACTCCTTCCCTTTATCTGCTTTTCCAGGGCGAGTCCATTGTTGCATACAAACTGAAGAGGTACCGAGGTGCGCGCCCTGCTCAGGGCCCTATTGTGCTAGGTGCTGTACAAACACAGGAGCTGGGCTTCTGTCCTTCAAGTTTTGCAATTTGACTTTCCTAAGAACAGCCAACGTATGCTCCTCCAGAGAGTAACTCAGGACCTAACGAGGTAGGTGTGAACCCCCTTCCTTCTCTTTCAAGGGCAGAAGAAGAAAGAGTAGACAGGGAACTAGCAGGATTACAGAGCTCTTAGCAAGTGCTTCATTAGGTTTGTAACTGATTAAGTCGATTGGGCAAGAAAGGATGGGCAGAGTGGAGACACAGAAAGCTAGTAACTGTAGAACAGGATGGAGCAAAAAGCCCATCTATGGAATAGAGCCTGTAAGGTCTAGAAGGACAGCTGGGGAGTGTTGTCCAGCAGTCTCTGGTGCAGTCACTGTCTGCACTGTATGAACGTTCCCCAGCTTTTCCACTTCCAGGCCACAGGGCCTTCAGAAAAGGCAGAGCAAAGAAACAGGGCTGGGGTGGTGGTGGTCCCAGCACTGCAGCCGATAACGTCCTTACCAATGATGTCGTCCTGCCATGTAGTCATGTTAGTTACAATGACATTACAGTAGCTTTTTGCTGCTAACGGTATTTCTCAAGTACTCAATTTCTTAATAAACAGAAGTGGGTTTCTCTTTTTAGGGGGCAGGGACCCCAACATACCAACTCCAGAAAAGTCTGTTTCTAGACTAACTGATTGCAAACGTCATCACCTTCTACCTGTGAACTACGTGCAATGCAGTGCTGTCTTCCACCACCTGCGCAGGCAGGCAGCTCCAGTTTCTCTCTCATCACCTCAGAGCTCTCTCCTTAACCTCATAAAGAAAAAATGAGCAGATCACAACAACTTTAAGGGCTGACAGCTGCAACGTAAGCTGTACCAGTAAGTCAGCTTCACTGTATTTTATTTTTCTTGAGGATGGCTATGGAAGGAATGAAGGTTGTAGCTATTCTCAGCCTTCTCCCATGAAGAGCGGACAGCTGAGCTTACCAGTGGTGTATTACAGGAATTCCATTAAAGAACCTGCCAGAGGGGCTTGAAATCTCTTGTGGCTAAATAGAGCTTGTCCTACTTATTCCAGAAGATGATACATCTTGTTCCTGTTTCATTTAATCCAGAGTGGATTAAATTAAACAGAATCATGGCAGTCTTATTTCAGAATTAAATGCACATGTTAAACTGTTAACAGACAGCTCCACGCACAGACCGATATTTAAAAGACTTGGAATCAGGTCCTTCATAAGCCCTCTAGGCCAAGGATATTTGTTTACTTTTGCTTTTCCCCACCCTCTGTTGCCCTAGCAAGCTCCTAAGTACTAGCATGGTACAAATAATAATTTAAAACAAGATCTTAGGCTGCTGCATTAAGTAGATTGCTCATGGAAATTATACTGTACATCTGCAGAAAGCCTGAATAATAGCTAACAGACCTATGAACTTCTCAGCCTATGCTTATTTCATTGTGCTATTAACTTTACAGCCTAATTATATCTAAAACACCTGCCTAACCAAACTCATTGATTAATTAGCAGCAGACTGGGAAATCCAGGATACTTCGGGACAGTTAGGGATTACTGCTGTAGGGAAAGAAAAGAGGAGCTACACAAAGTCAGGGAGAGAAACCAGGAAAAGGAGGAAAGGACAAAAGTTGTAGAAGTTGCTAAAAGAAAGCAGATCCCTCCTCACCCCATTTTATGCAGGATACAGTACTCAGGGACTGAATCCATAAATACAGATAATTAAAAAGTTACCTTACAGGTCAGACTCTCCAGTCTCCCTCTGACACCCACAGGAAATGTGATATAGATTGAAAAGTCTATGTGCTCATATCTTTTTTCCCCTTTCTGGCTCAGGAACTGTAATTAAAGGGAAAATCAGCCTCTCTCCCACCTTAGAGAGTATAGTGGCACAGCTGGTTTTCATCTTGGCTAGCAGGCTCTGTCCTCAGGCTACTAAGTGCTGAGTAATTTTTACCAAGCTCCGTTTGCAGATAAATGATGTTCTTCTCTTAGCTGCTGCCAGGCAAAGCTACAAATACTTGATCTTTTATTCTTTTCTCATAAACTCCTAACATTGAATACTAAAAATGCAGCCAGAGATTTTTCCACTGCCATTTATTCTCAGCATGGTCACAACTGTATTACAATTACAGACACCCACCCATTTGCTGAAGCTCAACTGTAGTTCCTCGTTAACCTGAAGCTTCCAATTAAAGGCTCCTTCAGTTTCATTGATAGTTTGCATATACTCCAAGGACCCACTTCATTTTTTTTTTTTTTTCCCCCCAAAACGCATTCCATGAGAAGGGCAACTGCTTTAAATAACTTCACACTAATTTTCTGGAAAAGCCTGATGAGGGAGTGCCAGTCTCAAAAGAAAAGCCTGTGTCTGAATATGCAGTTTGGGTAATTTCTCTCACAGCTATAACTATAAAAATATCTGAAAGCTTTTGACTAAATGTGGCACAACTGCTGGGCAGATAAAGTGTGGGCTCAGACCAATGGAAAGAATCTAGAAAGGTACGACACTGGAAATCCATTAGTTGAATTAAAGTTTTCTGCAGTGTTTCTACTAAGATCTTGTATTTTCTAAGAAACTGCATAAGAATTAGTTAAAAATTGTATCGAAAAGGATTTAAAAAAATACTAGTTAATCTTGGCAATGCTGTTCTTCCACCTACCTCCAGTAAGTGAAGCCATGAACATGAAGCCAGCACAGGGAGGAGACTGAAAACTGCTAAGAAATACCATGGCTAATTTTAGAATCATTTCCAGTCACGCATTATGAAACATAGTAACAGTGCATATAAAAGTACCTGCACACTTTTAAAAGATAAAGCAAAGTTTCAAAAAAAATCTTGATTTCAAAGATATTTTTAAAGTGTAAGACTAATAGCCTGTCAACATCCTAAACAACCCCACGCCTTTGAAGACCACCTTCCTAGCACATACACCAGTCTTACAGGATTACTGGCTACTGTTGTAGTAGTATCAGCCCCCGATGCCGGTCTATTTTCCGTTTAAGCCAGAAATGAGGGATAAAAGAGGAGAGGAACAATTCTGCAAATCAACAGCCATTTAAAAAAAATATTAAAAAAAATCATGAGGTGGAAGTAGCTTTCTTTTAAAAAATGAAAACTTGAACTGCTCTCTTGATGGCTCTGGCAGAGAGGGCATTTCCATACGCTTTCTTGTCTCTTATGGGTGCAGGTGCACAACTTAATAATAGCTTTAGCCTAAACTCTGTTTGCATGTAGCATGTTTCAAAACATGGCTTAATGCAATCACCACATTGCAAGTCCAACGTGAAGGCGTCTTGGCCTGTCTCTGCTGCTCAGTCAATGATTGGTGTTTAGATCCAACCTAAAGCCTGTGAACAAGCAGGATAAGATGCATTTGTATTTTAGGATGGGGAAGCTGGGGGAAAGGCTCTGCATCTGGATTCTGAACCAAGTTACAGTGTTTTTTTTCTCTTGCTAGCCCTCAGGATGTGGCTGTCTTCTCTCAGCCCACAGAACTCTAAACACTATGGTAAAGGTATCCTGTTGTAGTGTAGTTTTTCATTTTAAGTGTTTTCAAGCATTTAAAGTACATTGTAAATGTTTGAAGCTCCAGGGGAGCAAATCTGTGCCATCTTTCCATTATTAAAGTCTTCAGACCCAGGACTGGACTTTGGTAACTATGCGTCAGGGCAGTGCCAGGAGATGCTGGATCTTAACAGTGTTCCTGTTACTTAAGCATTAGAGGGAAACAGTCCATGTTAAACACACTTCACATGAAGCATTATTCTTAAATGCCTTGTAAAACAAATGAAACATTGGTTAGAAACACATTCACCACTGCTGACCCCACAGGTTTTTGTATTTAATAGAAATTAAATTAGTAGCTTAATGTACATAAGTGACATTTTCCAGTCCAGTAGCTTTCCAATTCTTGCTTTCAAGTCACAGAGCAAATACTGTACAAAAATGATAACAAAGAGCAAGCAAAGAGTAAACACTGTCACTAAAACACTGGACCCAGAAATGCTAGCTTTATCTGGAACTACACACGTCAAAGGATACATAATGATGGACCCATTATGGTACAATCATGCATTACCAAGGGACAGATCTACTGCCGGCCACGCACACGCTGGTTCCTCCAGGGCAGGTGGCAGCATCCTGGACTGTAGAGCGGGCTGTTTTATCGTGCTCCGTAGCTGTAGTAGTAAGGTTCATCCGGGCGGTATCCATACGCAGTGGCTGGGCGGCCAGGAACCCCTGGTGATTGACCAAATCCATCAACTCCGATGCTACAAAAAAAAAAAAAAAAAGAGGAGAAACTGTTGTTTTTTGTACAGTAGGGAAGGTGCACTAGTGCTGGTGTCTCCAACTCTTCCTGCCATAGAAGTAATTTTGTGAGGCAACTTTGCAAGCCATCATCCCCTTCTAGCCAGCTCTGCTCTGTCTCCTCTTCCCTTGGGAAAAGAAATGCTGCAGAGAAACCAACAGAACTCCTACCGAGGAAAAGCTTTCAGGTCAAATAGAAATCCCAGAAGAGACAGAAGTCTTCTCTTCTATCCTTTTATGGATTTACCAGCAAAGCACTTCACTTCTGTGACTCAGTTTCTCTCTCTGTACATTAAAGTTAGCATGTCTTTCAGGAAAGGCTTCAAGCATGCTTCTTGCAAAGCCCTCTGGTAACCCTGCCCTACACAGCACATCTGAATAATCTCATTTCCTTCCTTCAGTACATTTCTGATGCCCCTGGGAAAATACCAGCTAGAAATGAGAAAGTGAGAATATCTGGCACAGCAACATAGTTCAGCAAAGGACAGTGTTTCTGGTGTGACACAAGATTGACAGCCAAATGGCAGAAAGAATTCATCATATACTGAAAGGCTATGTACTAATGAGACAGAATAACTAATTTTTCTTATAGAACAGCATCTTTTACACCTAAAAACTCCCACAGCAATGAATTAGATACTAAAGCACAAGAACTGTGTAGGGAAAAGTGGCACATATTTCATGCTCAACAATAACTCTCATGCAGGAGGTAAAGGAAAAATGAACATTGCCTAAGATACTGGATTACTGCCTATTCATAGTTATGTCACTTAACTTCCACTTCAGTAGAAGGACAAATGGAAAAGGATTCTGATTTATTGTCTGACTAAAGATGCATTGAAAGGAGTTGAACTTCCCCTCTGAAGACTGTCAAAACACAAAGAACCAAAGTGCTTTTGGAGTGGGGAAAAGCTGAACCTCATTACTGCCAATTATACATATGGAACATGGGTTATGCAACAGTCAAGGCTGGGAAAGAATGACCCATCCAGAAGATGTACAATGGGTGGGCCCCAGGCCCTGGCTCAGCAGAAAGCTGGCACTGCTGAATCAGTTGGACTGAAAGGGCTCAGCCGAAGTGGTGGGGGACCACGTCCATCACTCTGTCCTTGCAAAGACACTTTCCTCAGATTGTGCCTCTGTGAAGTCCTAGAAAAGGATCCTTGGTGCCTGGTTTCCCAATAAACTAGTTCACTCATGGGATGTTCCAATAATCAGGTGAAAGTGGAAGGCCCGAGGCAGAGATTTGTCCTCTGAGAGGGAAGGGGACAGTCAACAAGCTAAACTGCAAAGAAAATAATTGTTTCACCTGACTGTATCTTGAGAAATGCAGCGCCCTGAAAGTGCTTTGCCATTTCCATGTCTACCTGTCTGTATTTGAATTGGCAATGCCCCCGTCTCATAACTCGTACACAGAGCCATCAGTCTCACCTTAAAGGCTGATCAGTCCCTTCAGCACAGCAAAGAGAAGCAGAGTAGCCGTGATGTACCCTGTAGTGGTGCAAAGCCATGTGAACACATGCCTCTGGCTCCACACCTTCACCTGGCCACCCATTCTTTCCTGTATCCACTCCAAAGTCCTATTACTCTTTTCCAAACCCATTATGAAATGAGCTGGTGACCTCTGAGGCACCTTCTTCAGGTCCCTCCTTCGTACCTGGCAAACAAGAGCTTTCTCATTAGCAGGCTTGAAGCTTTAAAAGACTCCTGAGAGAAGGGATTAAGAGCAATCCTGTTACTTTGTCTGTATCTAACTCTCATCTCCAGAAATACCAAACCCTGCACTCACCTTAGTCAGAGGATGGTCCCTGCTTCTACCATTGTTACTGATTTGCTGTATGCAAAGAGATTACACAGACAGACCTCACATGGGCTGCCGTTGGGAACAGCTTTCCAAATACAGGCCACAAAGCTCTTCCGAATAAGCCAACAAGGACCAGCATGAAGCTGACCAATTTGTCTGGCAGTTCAGAAAAAAAACCCAAATTGAATAACTACTGTAAAACAATGTCAATTCTTTTAAAGAGTTTTTTCAGTACCATTAGTACTAGGAGTTAATAACATACTAAAAGAAAGCATAATGGGATTTGGAAGCACAGAGTCCAGTTTTGTTGTGCTACTACGAGTTCCCAGTTGCCAGTGATGCCACACACACATGTAACACTGCAGAGAAGCAGGACCTTTTAAGGCTACCTTTAAACTCAGGAATTCCATTGTTTTCTTCCAAAGATCCTTAAAGCATCTACAGTTGATTTATAATGAAAAGACATTTTAACAGAAAATACTTTTCTGTGTTTATATTTCAATTTTTTTTCCTGTGACTATAACAACATTAGTTGTGGATAAGTTGTTTTTATTACTAGTATGGTAGAATAGGGGCTCTTTGCATTTCTGCTAACTACTGAAAACTTCATTCTGGGAAGACGTTGTCAGTGAGTGAGTAGGCTGTGGGTGCTGTTGGCTGTGAGTCCTGTGTGCAGGGAGGCTGCTGACCGCAAGTCAAGCTAGTAGCAGCCATGCCTTGGCTTCCAGGGGAGACAGCAGTAGCTGTCCTCAGGTTTACTGTGGCAGAGGGGGACACAACAAATACAGCAGCCTGAGAGACCTGTCCTGAAGCAAGATTTTCTTCTTAAATGTAAATGTGGCTTCTCTTGATGCTGCAGAGTTTCAAGAACTTCTTTTGGTCACTCCTAACTGTTCACTCTGCTATATACTACCAAACTAAAAGAACATTGTGGTTTTGGGGAGTGAGGTGTAACAACGACACTGAGCCACGAGGTGGCAATAGGTCTCTATCACTGCGGGCAGAGCTGTCCCAGCTACTTCCAGTTTAGTAATACTTATTTAAAGAACTTTTAAATGTTTTTAAATTGATAATGAAAGCAGGGAAAACATGGTTTCAATCACATTCTCAGCAAATCTTTTTTTTTATATTTCTTTTTATAAATGTGTAAGTAATTATGTAAAGATCCCTAGAGTTTAAACTTTGAGGAGTATCAGTTATTTCCAAATGGTTCAGACATATGTTAGTGTCCTGAAGAAAACTGGAAGAGATGGATCAGCTGATAACTGCTTTGGACAGTTAAAAAAAAAAGAAAGGAATAGAAAATCACATTAAAACACCTTGATCAAATCACCACTTTCCCCTATCTAAATATTTCTCTTAAGTAAACTAAGGCATGTCCCTGCTTCAAAAAAAAGTTGGCTTCATTTTTATGTTAGTGCTCTTGAAACATACCAGCTTTGCCTATTTGATTGTTTGCGCTGGCAGCCCATAGCAAGAAGCTTGTCCTCTTAGTTGAAAGAAAGGCTGTTAAACCCAGAAGGTAACTGAGGGGTAGGGCAACAAAACAGCAAACATGCGTCTGCAGACTGAAGTCTGGCTTACTTACGAAGCTGGCAGGCCAAGGGCAATGACTCTGCAAGCATAACCTACAGAGGCGGAGACAGGGGTTTAAAAACCAAGTCCTGATGAATCCTTGCCACTTCTGCCAAGAACAGCAGAACAGTAGAGCCAGGAAAGGTGGTAGCTTTTTGGCTGTAAACACTTGTTGGGTAACGATCGGCTTGAGATCATGATTTGTGCCATGTGTTCTTAGATTTATACCAGCAATCAACTTCAAAACTTGCTCCTAGGAAAAATGTGTTGTTGGCCTTATTTATATAGTATCTTCAGGAAAACTCAGTGCCCAGCAGAGGAAGCATCAGCCTGTCTTCCCAAAAAGTAAGGGACACATAATTATGCCATTGAGGCAACAACACTCATCCCTGAACTGCTATTTTTTGCTCCCATTAGTCATCCCTGTTCAACTAGGTACCTAGTAGAAGTGCATGCAGTCCCTGTAGTTGTATAATGGACATGGATCAAAAACACCACAACAAACTCCTCAGATAGATGACTTACGCCATTGCCTTAATCTGCAAGTTATTTAAGGCAGCTTTGTCCCACAAATTGCACGCGTGCGCTCAGATTGGTGCTTGCCAACCATGCCATCAAAGCACAACTGTTTTCTTGTGCAAAGTTTACCACCACGCCTGGAGCTGATGGAGTTAAACAGTGAACAGCACAGCTAATTACTATGTACTGCTAACCTCAGTTGCTGGTTCATTTTGAGACCCTTTAAAATATGAACTGTGTATTTTACCCCTATGCACTCTCTTAATGATTTGTTTTTTTTAGACTGAAATCACTTCCAGCCATCACTTATACTCGAGGTCTCTACACATGCACTTCTCGAAGCACAAATATTTCTTTTTCCTATTGGTCTGCCAGCCCCTGTCAGAGCAAATTTCACTTTAAACTAAATGCTATGATACTTAAAACCTTTTGGATTACTCAGGCTGCTAGTGTGATCTATGACCTTCCCCAAATGACAGCTGAACTTTCCAATTTGCTTGTACTGCTGGGGAACTGAAGAACACATGCCGAAGAGGAAAACGTTCCTGATGTGCATGAGTGAGGAGAGATTTCTTAACAACTCTGCTTATTGATACTTACTCCGATTCATAATATCCAAATTAATATGCCCATCTAGGATCCTAGGTGCCCTGACAATTTAAAAAGTAAAGACCAATCGTGTCCCACTGTGTCCACAAATTAATTACTTTCCTTAACACCCTCCTGCACCCAGAGCCTCAGAGACCAGATAGACTTTGTGGTATGTCTGGAAGACTTGGCAGGCTCAGACAGGGAGCACTCTGCCAGCAATCCTCTGCTGGGGTTCCCATTCAGGTATCTTTGCTGCTCGTGAGTGACGGTACAGGAAGAGAGGCTCTTGAGCTTAGTCTGAACTAGGGTAATTAACACCTGGGTGCAGACTGACCACAGAGCAAGGCTGCTTTCTGTAAGTTTTCCTGATGCGATAGACGCCTGAGCCTGTCCACACTAGCGTTTGCACTGTTACTAGTGTTGGTGCTGACAAGTTGCTCTAAAACGGGTATTAATTCCTCCTGTATAAGCATG